GCGACCCCAGAGGAGAAAGCCACATCGCACTTTAAGGAGTGAGGAAGCTTTGATTCGCTGTCACCCCCGCTGGACACATTTCCAGGGGTTGGGCCCCCAAGGCCTTGAGCTGCCCCATCCGGCTACCTTCACTGGACTCGGCTCAGGCCGTGAGCTGCTGCCCACAGCTGTACTGATCGCCCCCAGGGCTCCACCAGGATCTCCCGGGGCGCTGTCCTTGGTGGTCTCCGCCTGGGGTGGTTCTCTGCTGGCTGGGGGTGAAGGCAGCTACACCCCCATAGCTCTCTGGGCACTGTGGAGTCGGTGCCACGTGGATGCCGCCAAGGTCCACCAACCGGCCCGGCTGCTGCAGGCACAGTGAGGCCCCCAGGCCCTCAGGGCTCCTTCTTGACGATGTTCCGTCCTCACCGGGAAATCCGGGTCTTTGATGGGAAGAGGAGTGGCCCGGTCATCACCGAAGTGCCTCTGGGGTCATCCTGTGATTACTGATTTGTCTGGAGGCAGAGGGATGGAGGGAGGGAGGGGAGGGGGCTGCTCCCACCCACTGACCGCTGCCTCAGCTCAAGCCAAGAACCGAGGCGTCCGAGGGCGGCAGGAAGCCAGTCACCTGAGCCACGGCTGCTGCCTCCCAGGGTGGAAGCGGTGGGAAGCTGGGGACAGGAGCGGAGGCTGGGACCGACCGGGCACTCTGATGTGGGAGGCGGGCACTCGGCGCTAGGCTCTTGACAAGCAGCACCTGCCTTCCGCCAGGCCCGACATCTCCCACACGAGGTAGCTGGCCACGCCTGGGCCTCCACACGTAAACGTGCTTTTTGCATACGGCTGAGAAGTTCTGCTTCTCTCTTGATGATCGATTCCATCTGCGAACCATTCTGACGGTTCCGGAGGCTGGAAACATGAAGGAGACACCACGCGCTTGCGCCATCACGTAGGGGATCGGGTGTCGCCACGGGAACGCTGGTGGAAGCCGCTGCTGGGGGAGGGGGAAGGCCCCCGCCCCCGGCTGTAACTTGGACTTGGCTGTTTCCACTCCGCACACCCGTGTGTCTGGCCCTTTTGTCACGACGTCACCCTCGGACTCCAGTGAACTTTATTTGCCTAGAGTCTGCTTTATTCAATACGAACGTGGCGACTCCGGCTGTTTTGATTCATATTTGCATGCTACACCTTCTTACATCCTTTTATGTTCCACCTCTTGTTTTATTTTTTTTTATTTTTATTTTTTTTTATTTTTTGACAGGCAGAGTGGACAGTGAGAGAGAGAGACAGAGGGAAAGGTCTTCCTTTGCCGTTGGTTCACCCTCCAATGGCCGCCGTGGCCAGCGCGCTGCGGCCAGCACACCACACTGATCCGATGGCAGGAGCCAGGTGCTTCTCCTGGTCTCCCATGGGGTGCAGGGCCCAAGCACCTGGGCCATCCTCCACTGCACTCCCTGGCCACAGCAGAAAGCTGGCCTGGAAGAGGGGCAACCGGGACAGAATCCGGCGCCCCGACCGGGACTAGAACCCGGTGTGCCGGCGCCGCAAGGCGGAGGATTAGCCTAGTGAGCCGCGGCGCTGGCCCTCCAACTCTTATCTCACTGAAATGCGGCTCCTTGTGAACAGCAGGAAAGAGGCATTTCCCCTGACCCTGCCGGTCGTCTTCTTCTTCTTTTTTTTTTTTTTAACATTTATTTATTTATTTGAAAGGCAAAGTTGGAGAGATGCAGAGGCAGAGAGAGAGAGAGAGAAAGAGAGGTCCCCCATCACTGGTTCACTCCCCAACTGGCCACAATGGCTAGAGCTGAGCTGATCGGAAGCCAGGAGCCAGGAGCCAGAAGCTTCTTCTGGGTCTCCCACGTGGGTGCAGGGGCCCAAGGACTTGGGCCATTTCTACTGCTTTCCCAGGCCACAGCAGAGAGCTGGATCGGAAGTGGAGCAGCCGGGACTCAAACCGGCATCCGTATGGGATGACGGCGCTGCAGGTGGTGGACAGCTTTACCCGCTACACCACAGCGCCAGCCCCCGGTCTCTGTCCCTTGACTGGTTTTGTTTGTTTACATTTAAGGCAGTCACCGATGCGCTACGGTGCGACTGTCATTTCCCCTCGTCTCGTTTCCGCTCCCTTCTTTCTGTATTCTTGTCTTCTTGTGGGTTCCTGCGATATTTACGAGCCTTGATTCCCTGGTGGTGAGAATGTTTTGCACAGGGTCCATCTGGTGAGTACAAGAAAAGGCGATTTCTGTCCACTTGTACCGGTCCTTGCTCCCCGGGCGGAAGACTGGAACCCTCACTGCCGTCCAGTGTGGTTTGCCTTGCGCACCTGTAGACGTCCTTGTCTTGGGGGACAGAGGGAGGTGCAGCGTCCGTTTCCAGGCTCACGGCGATGCGGCACGGGAGACTCCACGTCCCTGTCTGTCTGCCTCCTGCCCTCCCAGCTTCCTCGCTGGGCCACTGCCCTTCCATCTGAAGAACTTCCTGCGCCAGTCTTTAAACGCAGGCTTGCAGGCCGCCAGTTCTCTCCGTTCCCCCACCCGAGGTTGTCCTGATTCCCCACTCCTGAGCGGTGCTTTCACTGCAAGTGGAAGTCATGGCCATCGTCCTCTTCTTTCAGCCCCTGGAAAGCACTGGGTCGCTTCCCCGTGGCCTGGAGACACGCTGCATGGCTTCCCCGTGGCCTGGAGAAATGTTGTGTGGCACTTCCCCGTGGCCTGGAGAAACGCTGTGAGTTCCGCGTGGCTGCCGGCTGTAGCAGGGAACGTGCTGCCCTGGTGAGCGCTTGCACACCGCTCCTTCTGCCAGCCTTCGGGCCCCCGTCTCCAGTCTGCGGGAGTTACGTCACCGTCTGTCTCAGCGTGGGTTTTGCCGTTGCTGTATGGACTCTGGGTGTGCGGTTCGTGGGGGAACTTACAGCCCTTCTCTCTTCACGCGCTCATTAGTGTCCGTCCTCCCCTCCTGACACTGCCGTGACACCAACACTGCCCCTCCGTTAGCGGCCACGGCCCACGTTAAGTCCGTTTGCTCTGACTGGTGACGCCTCGCCACGGTCACCCATTCTCCTCCGCCCTCTCCACTCCGCTGCCAAACCCTCCGCTGCCCCATTCCTGTTCCTTCTGAGTTTGTTTCTGGTACGTCTGTGATTTCAGTTGCTGCTTCTTCGTGGTTTGTATTTTTGTTGTGGTTTCTTTCTCATTTTTCTCATGATTTCTTCTTGGCCGTGGAGCATTTCTATGGCAGCTGCTCAAACTCCTGCCCGGTGACTCCCCGTATCCTGCTCGTCTGGACAGCCTTCCTCATTCGTTACAAATGCCTTGGTTCTGGGGCTGGCGCTGTGGCGCAGCGGGTTAACGCCCTGGCCTGAAGCGCCGGCATCCCATATGGGCGCTGGTTCTAGTCCCGGCTGCTCCACTTCCGATCCAGCTCTCTGCTGTGGCCTGGGAAAGCAATAGAAGATGGCCCAAGTCCTTGGACCCCTGCACCCATGTGGGAGACCTGGAAGAGGCTCCTGGCTTCGGATCAGCTCAGCTCTGGCCGTTGCGGCCATCTGGGGAGTGAACCAGCGGATGGAAGACCCCTCTCTCTTTGTCTCTACCTCTCTCTGTAACTCTTTCAAATAAAAATAAAAAACCAAGTATCTCGGTTGTCAGTGTGACAACTTTGTTGTGTCCCAGATGCCTGAGGGACTGAGGTCCTCTGGCTGTTATGTTGGCGGACTTGGGTCCTGCTGAGATCTGTACCGGCGCAGGCAGTCACCTGCGATCCGCGAGCAGGTCCCGGCCTGCTGCCTGGGCTACGGTCGCACTGGCGGCTCCTTCACTGCTGGCTTGATGGGAGCTGCCTGGTGCCTCTGGGCGCCCCTGCCGGCGCTGACCTACGGACGGGGGTGCATCTCAGGGGAAGGGGCTCAGGCCCGCGGCTGGGAAGCAGCTTCCTAGCACTGCACTCGCCGGCCTGGGGGAAGCACAGGGTTGGTGACCATCAGCTGTCCCCGGCCAGGCCTCTGCCTTCTCGGGGACTTCAGGGCCATTTGTGGTTCAGGAGTTTTTCTTCTTCACCCGTCCCACAGCTCAGCACGTGACCGATCGCGTGCTGGAAATCCCCTCCCAGCACCGCCCCAGGCCCCAGGCCCACCTGGAGAACTCGGATTCTTCCTTGGAGACTGGCTCACAGGCGCCTGCTCTGGGCAGCTCACCACAGGCCCCTGGGGGCCACGCAAGCCTCTGGACAACACAGAAACATCACGGCAGAGGCACAGGCAGGGCAGGCCGAGGGGCCCACGTCACACACGGGTGACACGCGTGGGCAGGCATCCAGAGCTGACCACGCACGGCAGCTGGCTGGACGCTCTCCAGCCACAGTGGACGCTGGCCCAGTGCACTGCTTCTCACTGGGAGCTGAGTTAGCAGGTGCTCCCAGGTTCTGACACCTGACAAGAAGGGAGACGGTCAGTCCCCAGAGGCAGAAAGCCAGCACCAGGGGCGCCAAGAGAGGCAGAGGCCTTGGCTGGGGGATGGGAGAGGCGGGAGAGGGCACCCAGCACCCCCTGCGTGGGGTGAGGGTGCGTGACTCCGCCAGACTTCCAGTGCTCAGACACCTAGGCCTGGTGCATGTGTGCGTGTGCGTGTGTGTGCACATGCGTGTGGGGGGAGGGTATTTATAGCAACCCCTAAAACATACCAGTACCTGTCAACACCATGCATGGCAATTAGGTCTTTAGAATCTTTGAATTTAATTTTTTCAAAGATCTCAGGGAAGAAATCCTCGAATACATTCCTGAGGGCCAAACGTATGTGAGTTTAGAACTGAATCCCCTGATCCACACACACCCAGGAACACACGCGGATGCAGCCCCAGACACACATCCGTGTGCATTCACCCACACACACTGGCACGCAGAGACCCGCATCACACACGAGTGCACAGGTGTACACGCACACACACACGCACACCGCACACTCACATGTATGCACACAGACACACAAACGCACACACACAACACGCACGCGGGGAAAGCAAGCCCCTTCTCAGCGAGGCATACCAAGGCCGTGGTTTATTCCACTCTGCATGGAGATGGTGCGTAAGGCGCAGAGGTGACCATACAAGGCGTTAGAGCACATTCATTTACATACTGGGTATATTCTTTACAGTATCAGAAAGTACAAATATGCGCGGGCAGGTAAGGCGGACGAGACGCTACGCGGTCTCGGACACTGAGATACACGCAGGGCGACTTCACCGCGGGACAGCGCAGCACTGGAGGCGCACACACTGTAGCGAGCGGGTTCATGGGCCCCTGGCCGCCGCGGGTCGGGCACGAGCCCTGCGAATCCACCGCAGGTCCTCCCCAGGACCCCACGCTCGGCCCATCAGGGGCTGCAGAGGCCAACACCGGGGGACGTCCCTCTCCTGTGTCCCTGAGAACACGGCGCAGCCGACGAGCAGCCTTGCCTTGTTCTGGGCGGTACACACGAGACACACACGTACCAGCCCCCAGAAACCCTGGAAGCTCCCGCATGCCCCGCAGGGGGAGCTGTCTGATGGGGACACTGACAGCTCTCGTCAGGGTAGAAGCCCGCGCTCCCAAGGGCGTAGCGGAGGCGCCACTGGCGGGGTCGCCCACGGGCCCCTTCCCCACACCTGCCCTGCTCAGATCTGGGACTTGCCCTCTCCGCTCTCGGCAGGCGGAAGGGGCCTGGCCCGCAGCCTCTGCAACAAATGTGGGCACAAACCAGCTCAGGACGGGGCACCGGGGCTGTCCGGACCTCGGCTCCCCTTGGCTGGATGCCTGCAGAGGGCAAGCCGGAAACGCCGGCTGCGGCTGCGAAGGCACCAGGGCCTGCGGAGGCTCTGCACTCGGACGGCCTCGCCAGCGTGTCGGGGAAGGAGGTCCGCAAAGACCAAGGCAAACATTTGGCACAGAAATGAGGCACTTGAGTTTGGTGCATCGAAGTGGAACGGCCCACCTGCCCTCACACACCGTGCACACACGTGTGCACACACACACGGACAACACCCACCGTGACTGGGTTGGATCCAGTTCTGCTCCTCCCTGTCTCTTCCCCTGCCCCTCACGCCAAAGCAGGGAATGCGCAAAGCCCACTTCCAAACCGCCCGGTCCTGGGCGCGGTGGGGCCGGCAGGAGCTCTGGGCGGGTCCTGCGCGTTGCCAGCGCGGTGAGCCGGTCAGCACGGGGCGGGGGAGGCCCAGGCGTGGCTTCCACGGCCCAGCTCCGCCTCTCGCTCTGGGGAATCTGGGGCCCAGGCTCTTCCCCGCCTTGGACCACAGAGGGAGGCGAGAAAAGCCCGGCACCGGGTCACGCGTCTGGGCAGGAAGTGACGCACTGGCTCGGTGGCTTCCGCTGCAGACGGCCTGTACGCTCTCGGTTCCTGCCCTTCCTCCTCCTCCTCCCTCAATCACGGCAGAAGCACACAGGACCTGCCGGGAAGCCACGGGCGCAACGAGAAGCAGCCTCGCGAGATCCCACGAAGGCCAAGGGTGCATCAGGTGATGCTGAGAGAGGCCCAAGGGCGACCCCCACGGCCCACCCCCACCATGAAGTCAGCCGGTGGAGGCGGGGTGGGGGCTGGAGGCAGAGCCAAGTTCTGGTGGCACTGCCGGTGAGGCGGATTTTACAGCCTGGCCGAGTCTACCATGCCCCCACGTGTGGAGCAGGTGCACACGGTGCGTCCTCTGGTCACAGTGGGCGGGCTGCAGCATTTGACACTGGTGCAGCGTAGCCATGGCAAACCGTCAGCATAAATAATTTGGCATAAGTAGAATATAAATTATTCCGAAGTGGCGATCTCGTTTCCTTCTCTTGTCCTCCCTCGTGTGGGTCTCCCTGGACTCTCTGGCCCGGCTCCCACACAGGATGGCGGGGGCAGACTCTGACACCACACAGTCCTCCAGATGCGGGGCCCACAGTCCAGGACGCCGTCCCCTTGTGTGGGTCCCCGCCGTGCCCCGGAAGGGGCGACCTGCACAAACCTTCATCAAACCTGCGTGCCCCGGTCAGTCTCATCAGCATTTGTGGCACAAAGACCGTGGCGAGGGAGTCGGAGGCGCGGGCGCTGCAGGACGAGGGCGTGCCTGCCCAAAGCCGGGCCTTGCGGTCACTCGGCACCTGCCGCGTGGGCGGCTGCCACGCTCCTCGCCCCACAGGCCTGGGTGCCTGGAATCGGGGCTGCCACGCCTCTGTGCTGTCTGCTCCCAAGTCCTCCTTCCACGTGGACCCTGAGCGGTCCGGCCACCCAGAAGCACTTGCTTGCCGGAAAGTGCTGGCCGAGAGGAGGCTCGGGGAAGGCTGCTCTGGGGGACGTCTGTGCTCGGGTCCACGGAGCTGGAATGTCAGGTGATCAGTCCGGGACAGAGTGGGGGCCACGCCTCGCGTCCCACTGCTGCCCCCAGGTCTGGGCTACGAGGGCCTCAGAGCTTCTTTGGAGAGCCGATCATGACCTTGGACACAAAGTTGACAATGGCGCTGGCTGGCTGCTCGGGGTCGTGCTCTGCGAACAGGTGGCACACGTTGTCCGTGGCGCTGCCCTGCTTCCGGGCCACGAATCCAAAGACTCTGCAAAAAAGAGGCTCCAGGTCAGGGCGTCCGCCGTGCACGGGGCCCCAGGCGTCCCCCGCGCACAGGCCCCAGGTGTCCACCGTGCACAGGCCCCAGGTGTCCACTGTGCACGGGGCCCCAGGCGTCCCCCGCGCACAGGCCCCAGGCGTCCCCCGCGCACAGGCCCCAGGTGTCCACCGTGCACAGGGTCCCAGGTGTCCACCGCGCACAGGCCCCAGGTGTCCACCGCGCACAGGCCCCAGGTGTCCACCACGCACAGGGTCCCAGGTGTCCACCACGCACAGGGTCCCAGGCGTTCACCGTGCACAGGGTCCCAGGCGTCCACCGCGCACAGGCCCCAGGTGTCCACCGTGCACAGGCCCCAGGTGTCCACCACGCACAGGGTCCCAGGGTCCCAGGCGTTCACCGTGCACAGGGTCCCAGGCATTCACCGTGCACAGGGTCCCAGGCGTCCACCGTGCACAGGCCCCAGGCGTCCCCTGCGCACAGGCCCCAGGCATCCACTGCGCACAGGCCCCAGGCGTCCACCGCGCACAGGCCCCAGGCGTCCCCCGCGCACAGGCCCCAGGCGTCCACCATGCACAGGCCCCAGGCGTCCACAGCGCACAGGCCCCAGGCGTCCACCGCGCACAGGCCCCAGGCTTCTGCTTCCTGCGACCACAGGCAGCACCACGGGAAGAATGGCACGTCTACGCCTGCCAAGCACCGGGCGGCTACGTGTGCAGGTTCCGGACCTGCGGCTAAGCCTCAGAGCTGCCCTGCAGGTGAGGGCGTGGGATGCTGATGGATGTGGCTGCCCCAGTCACACGCCAGCAGGGCCAGGATCCTCAGATCCCGAGGAGTGGGTGAAGCCCTGGGGAGGGGTCCGGGGCCTCTGGGAGATGCTGACTCCACACGCACACCCCCCAGAGGGAAACACACAGGGTGTGTGTGGGTATGCACGGGGTGCGTGTGTGGCTACACATGGGGTGCGTGTGTGGCTACGCACGGGCACGGCTCGGGACCCTGCTGAAAGCACTGAGCCGCCACCACTGCAGGCTGTCCAAGCCCTCCACTGCACACAGCCACGCCCGCAGCCCAGGCCAGCCTTGTCCATCTTCCTGGGAAACACGACAGGCGTGTTCCCTCCGCTCAGCGGCCCTGCAGGGACGGGGCCCATGGCATGCAGAAGCCCAAGCCCCTGCCGGGCAGAGGGGGCCGTGTCCGGGCTGGGGAGGCCCGGCACCGAGCAGAAACCCCAGCTAGGGACGCCCTGGAGTGGAAGGCGAGGGCGGCGTCCCCTCCTCCTGCCACGGGGCCTGGCGCACGCAGCGGAGTGGAGCAGCTTCCTCCGGAGAGGCCTCTCGGGCAGGCCAGGCACTCACTTGGAGGAGGTGGGGCTGTCCTTGATCCACCTGGCAAGTTAAAGACAGACAGAGTCACGTCAGCTTACGAACAACGCCCGGGCAGGGGGGAGCGCGGCCTCAGACCCCGGGACGCCCCGCCTTACTTCCGGTCCTGCGGGTCCAGGGCGCAGAAGATGACGCTGTTCACGGGGTAGTGCCGCCGGAAGAAGAGCCTGCGGGGACGGGAAGGGCGCCTGAGGCCGCGGCCGGGACCCCAGCAGGGCCGGGCCGGGGGTCCCGGAGGGGCAGAGCCGAGAGACCGCGGGGACCTGGCTGATCACCCGTGTTGGTTTCCCCTATGGTACAAGGGGCTCACGAGACCGGAGGGCTCCTCTCCTGGGACAGGGCCCAGATGTGAGGACCTCGGCAAGGCGGCGGGACGCGGCACCAAAAGGCCGGCTTATCCAGGTGCCAAATACCGCAAGTTCCACGCACAGTTTTCATAATCTGTATTTTTGCCCCAGCTCCTGGGAGAGCCCTTGGAGGCACAGATCTGAGCACTGGAGGCCCGGGCGGGGGGCCTGAGGGCAGCCCTGCTCAGGGCACCTGTGCAGCCCCCAGCTCCGAGGCAGGGTCCTAGTGAGGGTCTGGGACACAGGCTCCCTGCCCAGGGTCACCTGCCGCCAGCGGTGGGACCTGACGTGGAATGTGGGTCTGAGCAGCAGAGCCCACGTCCTTCTGAGGCTCCTTTGACTGGCGGCTGAAGGGTCAGGGGCAAAACCTGTCCAAGCTCCCGTCATCCCAGAACGAGATTCTGCGTGGACCCCCCGGCACGCGGCACGGCCAGCCGCTGGCTGTGTCCACCCGATGGCGCTGCAGAGGGCAAGTGGGGGCAGCAGCCCGTGCTGTCACATCCACAGCACACAGGCCTCCGC